ATGCAGCCTTAATGCAAAATGTCAACCAGCAGAATTTTTCACAAAAACAAAGCAACAACAAAATCACAGGGAAAAATAAAGCCCCCTACATAAACAGTATACAGTTCTTAAATATAAGATGGAGGATGTCAACAGAAAAAAAAATAACCAACTGTAAAATTAATAATTAATGCGGTTTATTTCCAAGCCAACTGTGAGTGACCTAGGCCGGAGAAGAGGCATACATGCCTTTTCTCGGGGTGATCATGTACAGAGGTTCCTTTTATTTGCTTTTGAGATTGACAGACAACATTTAGTGAAAAGATTTTCCATTGGTCTGGCCCAAAAAGGCAGGACATGTAGAAGCGGAGGGGATGGGGAGGGCTGTAGGTTATAGGTGGGTTCTACAATCCTTAGGTTGGTGATTGGAAGGGAAGATCTGTGTCTTAAAGAAAGGCTTAATCTACATCTCAAGGAAAAGGGAAGTTCTGTGTCTTGGGAAGGGATAAGCACAAGAATACACTATAATCGGTTGAAATACACATCTCAAAGATACTATGCCAGGGACAGGAGGTAGGAAGAATCCTGTTAATAGAAAGTAAATGGTCTGTTAATGTTTGTGGGCATGACTTCCCCAGTTCCCTTTTGAAAAGATTTTGGAAAAATAGGAAATCCTTGTCCACAAGGATTATAGATAGCAAAGGACTTGGTCGTATACAGATTCTTTTCTTCAGAGCTAAGATGTGCAGGTTGTTGTTGACTTCATGGATTAAATGTGCTTTATGAATTGTTAAGGAAATATAATTAAAAACAAAATTTCTCCTTAACCCAGAAAATATCTCCAGCAAGAAGCTGAATAAGCATTAAACCCGCATATAATGCGCTTCACACTTGATTCTCCGAGAAATTGCAAAGGCAGAAATCTCACCCTTTCATGTGACCAGTCACTGGATGCAAGGTCTGAAGGGACGCAGGCACTAGTCCTTCAGTAAGGGGCCTCTGCCAACACCACGTACATTTGTAGTTCATCCTGTGTTCACTGGCAACTGGGTGCTAATTAGCTTCCTTGAAAAGGAAAGTACAACTTCTCTATGTTCACTACAGGAGGTGGTTTCACAGCTTAGAGCCAGGCATCCCCCACTGGTAGGGTCTTACCCTCCCTCTATAACTGGAAGAAGCTGTGGGTTCCCTGATGTTTACACTTCAAAGAGAAGGCCCCCAGGTGCTTGAGAAAGATATTCCTGGGATAAGACATTGACAGAGGCCTATCTAGTTTTCTTAAGTGTTTGTAAACATTTCAAAGAAAGGATAAAGGACTTCTACTGGCCAGTTTTCTTAGGTAAATGCTCTCCAAAGTGAAAGGGAGAAGTTTCTTCAACTGGGAGAATTAGATTTTATTTTAAATTTTTATTTGCTCTCACAACGTGTCTAAAAAGTAGGTACATTCATTTTGTTTAACTCTCTTTTTCCATCCATCCTTTATTTCTTTCAAAGCATTTTCTTTTTTGCTTTTTTATATTATTATTTATTCTCTAATTTATTTTATACATTCAATCATTGTACATCACTGGACCTTGTGAAATGAAATCTCCAACATGAAAACACTTCACACCAATCCAGTTGAAGATATCATGCGCGTTATCATCAATGGACTACTCAGCCATAATAAACAACCAAGGCATTTTCAAATTAAAATATTTTTAAAAAATGGTTAGAAATATTTCAGACTACGAGCCAATGGTGATACAACAGGAAAATGCGATGCTCTGTGAGGCGGACCCTTGGGGAAGCTCCTGGTTACCTCCACAGACCATCCCGAGTGGTTGGATATAACACTGCCCATGCTCAGCGCTGGCTGAGGCGGGCATCAAGTGCAACATGGAGCCCTCCGTTAGGGATGTTATCTCTCCGTCTCTGTCTCTCTTGCTCGTGGAAGAAATAAAACAATACTTCAGACCAGCAGCAATAAGACAGTGTTTAATCCAAGTGCCACCCTCTCTGTACATGCTTTTATAATATTCCTTGCCACATCCACTCTTTATAATTACAGTTGTAAACTTTATCTTTTTCTTAATTGCATTCCTGGAATTTTTTGATGGTGAAAATTATTTTAAATTCGTTTCTACTCTCTAACTTTTATAAATAATCCCATAATTACTGAATGTTTATTAGTGCTTGGCCAGCCCTGTAGACTAGCAGTTAAAGGAGCCAAACTGATTCCACACGGTCAACTGATGTTTGAATCCCAACCTCTGTGATTTGAAAAATGTGTGTGTGTGTGTGTGTGTGTGTGTGTGTCCTAAATATTGACAGGATAGAGAACTGGAGAAGGGATTGCACGGGGACCACATCCCACTTGGAATGCTCTCCTTTTCTCTCTGGCTAGAGCATGCTCCTCTGGCAATTAAAAAAAAAGGTGCTAAGTGCTGTCAGGCATTGCAGGAATTAAAAGCAGCTATGAATTAAATAAAGGCTCATTCATTTATTCATCAGCTATCTGAGTGCTTAGTATTCAGCAAGCAATGTGACAATTATGGGTCAAATGAACCTACTATCTTCAAGAAACCCTTCCCCAGGACAGCCCATGGCCTAATAGTTAAGACAGCCAGATCACAAGTGGCCGACTGTGCAGTTCAAGTCCTGGATCTGGCAGCTTGAAAAACCCAGGCCACGTGCATGCCCAAATCCTGAAAGAAGGAGAGATAAAGAAGAGATTGCGGTGTGGCCATGCCTCCATGAAAGTGCTTTCCCTTCCCTCCCCTCCCCTCCCCTCCCCCAAGTGCATGCATTGGCCCTGCGAGTAGGTCTACATCCAGATACTCACTTCAGACTGGATCCTCAGGGCGATGAAAGTCTTAGACCCCCTTTCAAGCCAGTTTCCCAGAGGTTTTGTGGGGAGACCCTGGCCTTCAGACAGGCCTCTGGAGGCCCAGGTGGATGGTTCTCTCTCTCCCTAAGTTTATTCATTTATTCCATGGGCTCTCTCTCCTCTTTAGGGAGAATGGACATGAACTCTGGCATATTAAGAAAGAAAAAAAAACAATTCTCTCTCACTCTCTCTGTTTTTAAGAGTTTATTTTTTCAAAAAGAGAGGAAAATGCAGACAGGTATAGGCAGGTATAAATAAAGGCACAGGGTCTTCATGCCTCAATCCACCCCCAGCCTCAGCCAAAAGGGATCATGGACACATGGGTGCCCAGTGTGTGCAGGAAGACTCAGAACGCAGACCCAGGCTACCTCATATGGACTCACCACCCAGAGCGTTGTGGTCCTGTTGAGCCACTGCAGTTGCTGAAGCACCACTCTCTAGGGGATGGTGGTCAGTGGGCAGTGATATAACATTGGGATGGTGGTGTAGGACAGTCTTCATAGAGGAGGTTCAAAAAAAAAAGAATGGGTTTGCAGATGAATAGGGAATGGATAGCACTTGCAGATAAAGTTCTGTGTATGTTTCGAAAAATGAAAGGCAGAGACATTTAAAATGTGGGTTTAGAATAGGTAAAGGCAAGCCTCAAGTTCCATATTTGAATTCAGTGTTGGAATATGGCAGGGACAACTTTAACATACGTTTCTGGAAACAAAAGTTATTGCAATGCAAAATGATAGTGCATAAAGTTTTCAAGTTTTCTAAGCAGTCAAAAGCAACACAGCTGGGAATGAATATCAGTTGTCCTGTTAAGCTCTGCTTTCTAGAAATTCCACAGTGGAATTTCTGATCCTCTGAAATCAGTTTTGGTGGTGGGTATGAAGAGGCATTTTAGAAGCTTAGGATATCCTATGCTCCAATATGAGGATATAGAGAAAAACATTTATGAGATGAACTTCTGTCATGAACATTTTAATGTCTCAAAATCAGACGTGATACACCCCTACTTTAAACACTATCTGTGCCACTATTGCATAACCAAAACGCTTCACAGTGGCTATAGGGCCCCCTCCTTATTCTGCCTGGTTTGTTATCCCCACCACTGTATCACATCCTCATTATTCCATATATATCCGAGCTATTACCAAGTTGATCAAGTTGATCAGTTTCTGGGGCTTGGGCTTGTCCTCATAACTGCCTCAATGCTGCTCTCATTCTCATTCTACCACCGGTATACAATGTCCATCTCCACTCGTGATTCATGATCCAATGGAGGTGGCATCCTCAGGATGACTTCCCTGTCTCCTTTCTCCTCCCTCTATAAAAACCAATTGAGGGATCAGCAGTTAGCATAATGGCTATGTCGCTGGACTCCCACGTAGTCAACCGCGGTTTGCGTCCCGGACCCAGGGGCTTAAAACACATGCCGGGCGCATGTGCGTGCGTGCCCAAGATCCCGAGAGGAGAATGGAGGAGAAGGGATTGCAGCATGGCCATCTCCCCTGGGGGGGGCGTGGTTTCTCGCTTTCTGTCTCTCTGTCTCTCTCTGTCTGGCGAGCGCACATGCCCTATAGCAAAAACCTCTCCAAAAAAAAAAAAAACCTAATTGAGATCCCTTTCATAGGTATTTCTATAGCACTCTTGTTTTCCACATGATCAGGCTTTATCTGATCTTTTGTCCCCTAAACTGTAAAGGAAATTTCTTCAAGGCAAAATCCCTAATTTTTCTTTAATTTTTTAACAGTCATACCCTACCATTTCTTGGCAAACTAGAACTTTTTATAACATACGTGCTTAGATATATGCATGAATGGATGAAAGAACGACCTTATCGAACATGTAAACAAATAATCTGGTTAGTAAGCAATGGGTGGTAGAAGATGGAGTTTCAAAATGAATAGAACTTAAAATAATATACCCAGAAGTTGTCTTTTGATTGACCAAAGTGTTTCTGTTATTGCTAACTTGGATTTTGATATTAAATCAATGTAATCCAATGTTCTTTATATTATACTGGCTTATTTGGAGCATCTTAAGTTTCTGACATGTATAGGATTTAGAATACTGAAATGCTCAGTATAATTGGGTATTATTACTCACTGGTTTCACCTTATATTCCTGGGATTTTCCTCAGCTGGTTTTTATTATTTTTCAGGAAAAAATGCTATTACACTGACCGGAGGAACAAATCAATGGGCAGGTTGGTGGGTGCTGTATCATCTACTTATGACCCATTTGTCATTCGGAAAAAGAAAATAAAGAAGAAGACAGTCCATTACCCATATCAGCAGTTGTAAATTTTAGAAAGGAAAATTCTATCAATCTGCTCAAGAGATGTCCAGAATGACTTATGCCAAGTTGAGCAATATTTAAAATCACATAATCTCTTTGTTACTATTTACATTGCCATTTCTGCAACCCTCCTGTGATTTGGTGTCATGAAAGGAGAATATTAATTGCAAGTTAGCATCTTAAGGCATTTTAATTTAAAATATGGTTATAAAACCAGGATTGGTGGGTAAATAATGACTCACTAAGTAATAGAACAATGGATCCAGCAAAGACCTGAGTCATTTAAACCTATTTTTTGACAGAAGCAATTAAGACCTAGTGTCCAGAGTGATGAAGTAGTTTACCAAGGCTGTACAGTATCTTTTAAATTGCAAGCCTACTCTTATTTTACTGCCAGAACTACCTCTCTTAGCCTAGTATTGAAAATGAGCTTCTTTCTGAGACCATCATCTCGAGGCACCAGCTCTTCACCTGTTGTGTAAGAGGAGCTGTGGAAAAGGGATTAATCAAACCACAGCCCTGACACAAGGAACTCTGGCACCTGAATCACCTTGGCACTGCTTAACTCCTTTCCATTTAAAGCATGCTCAAACCACACTCTTTACACTTGGCTGGTTTTACTGCTCATTACAAAAGAATCAATTAACAAAGACAAAATGTGAATGTGGTAAGATACACACCACTGAATTATGTTGCAAGATATTACAATTCAGAATGACTCTGAAGATAGAGAAACATACAGTGCAAATAACAGATCATCATCTTAGAAAAGGATTAGATACATCTAGTTCTTTTCTCAAGTTGATCATCAAATATAATTCTGAAGTTTATAGGTGGAGGAGGGGAATGTTGGTCTTTTAAACATTAAATGTAGGTGTGGTAGGATTGAGTGACAAGAAAAGTACCTCATGGAAGGAAAGAACCCTTGAAACTACAATGAATATTAAAGCCATTGATCACTCAAATGGCTTTTTTCTTTTTAAGTTGATGCACCTGAGCCAAGTCAAATTTTTCTATCAGGTTAACACATTCTGATTTAGAATGAGCTCTCATTATTTCCCACGTGAGCATTTGGTCCTGGTCTAGGAGGGAAATTTTCTGTCATTTTTGCGTAATAAAATCTAAGTCACTGAAATACGGTATATATTTACAACTGCAAATTTTCCTTGTTTTGTTCTGCCAATGCCTGCTTACTTTGGGGTGCTGATGAAATCTCTTGTGATTGCTTCAGTGTGCTACATAAAATTAATGAGTCTTTGCTGCTATGCATGTTTGTGGGCTTCTGTTAAATAGGCATCTTTCTTTCAGAGACTTGCAAAAAGCTAAAATCCTGACATCAAATTACAGCGAATGTCTATTGAGTAACTATCAAAAGTTAATTTTAGAGTACACTTGTGTTTGGAATGCATGATAAATATATGTATTCTAAATCCTCAAGAAAGAACACTTAAAAGTAAGAAAAATGTCATTTCTTCTATTTTGGTCAAACTTAAAAGCAAACTAGAAAAACGAACTTCGTACTAATGTGTTGTAATGGATTTTACATTTTCTGTCTATTATTTTGTTCAAGTTCATGAAATGAAAATTGAGTTAGGAGTTATTCCAAATGATCACTAAAATATCTTAAATTCTACTCTAGCCTGCTCCTTTATACTTTACTTACTCCAGTTTTGTTGTTAGTCTTTGATTTTGTGGATGTATGTGTGGAGGAACAGACCTCATGGAAGGAAAGAACCCTTGAAACTACAATGAATATTAAAGCCATTGATCACTCCAATGGCTTTTTTCTTTTTAAGTTGATGCACCTGAGCCAAGTCAAATTTTTCTATCAGGTTAACACATTCTGATTTAGAATGAGCTCTCATTATTTCCCACGTGAGCATTTGGTCCTGGTCTAGGAGGGAAATTTTCTGTCATTTTTGCGTAATAAAATCTAAGTCACTGAAATACGGTATATATTTACAACTGCAAATTTTCCTTGTTTTGTTCTGCCAATGCCTGCTTACTTTGGGGTGCTGATGAAATCTCTTGTGATTGCTTCAGTGTGCTACATAAAATTAATGAGTCTTTGCTGCTATGCATGTTTGGGCTTCTGTTAAATAGGCATCTTTCTTTCAGAGACTTGCAAAAAGCTAAAATCCTGACATCAAATTACAGCGAATGTCTATTGAGTAACTATCAAAAGTTAATTTTAGAGTACACTTGTGTTTGGAATGCATGATAAATATATGTATTCTAAATCCTCAAGAAAGAACACTTAAAAGTAAGAAAAATGTCATTTCTTCTATTTTGGTCAAACTTAAAAGCAAACTAGAAAAACGAACTTCGTACTAATGTGTTGTAATGGATTTTACATTTTCTGTCTATTATTTTGTTCAAGTTCATGAAATGAAAATTGAGTTAGGAGTTATTCCAAATGATCACTAAAATATCTTAAATTCTACTCTAGCCTGCTCCTTTATACTTTACTTACTCCAGTTTTGTTGTTAGTCTTTGATTTTGTGGATGTATGTGTGGAGGAACAGGGACTAGAAGGAGTTTGTAGACTTATATTTTAAACAAAAAAAGGATTTCCCGTTATTTGCCTAAATTTAAACTTTAATTGAAGAAATGACTGATTCTGATTAAAAAAAAACCTTTATCTTCATAGAAGGAAAGTTAAATATGTGTGTGTGTGTATGTGGTCATCACTGATATAAAATTGTTAACCTCAATCTGTAGATATTTTGAAAAGTGGGGAATGAAAATTGAATATGCCTATTTAGTTTCACTTATATTTTTCTATCCTTTGGTTGAGGAAGATGTTTGGAGCATGACTAATTTGGGCCAATGAACATTGAAGGTAGAATAGCATACAGATATTTAGCCAGCTCTTGAAGATCGCCATTTTTTTCCATGTTTTTTGAGGAGAAATGGCCATCGTTTAATTATTGCTGCAATTTATTTTTTATTTACAAAGCCTTTTCACATTCACTTGTCAAAGCATCTTCAAAACAACCCTACTGAAGGGAGACAGAATGGAGAGTAGCCAGTTTTGCAGATCAGAGAAAATAAATTATTTCCTTATCATCTCTGGCCACACCCCTCCGTCCCAGCCTTCAGAGCTCAAGTGGAAGTTGAAGTTCTTTTGATCCTTTAATCCAGATTTATTTTCAATTTCCATAGAACTCCCTAGCTTTCCACTGCTTTTAGCAAAGGACCTTGAAATTCTATTAGAAGTTATCTTCACATTATGCCAAGAAATACTGAATTCCCAAGATGCCCAACACAATGAAATGTTGGTAGAGTGTAAACCGTGTATTAAATTACACTGGTCGCATGGCATTGGTAATTGTGGCAATAGAAATACTAATATTAATACTTCTTTTCCTCATTATTGTCATAAATATTTATTGAGTTCTTACTGTGTGCTGTGCCTCTTGGTGTCAGACCTTATCCATTTAATTCTCAAAATACTCTTTCATTTAATAGATGAGAAAACGGAGTGAGGCTCATAGCAGTTAATAAGCCAGAACCTTGAGTCTTGGTACTCTGACCATATATCACAGGAAGTGTGCATTAAAGCCTAGTTTAATAATAGTTTGTTTGCAGTTAACATAAGTAATGGTCTGAAAGTCTTTTTATTTGATTTTCTTATGAAATTCTGAAAATTTTGCATTTATTTCTACTTTACAATTTTTTCAAAGTGCAGTCAGATGCCTGCTTTCATTTGACCCTTCTAGCCACGTAATGAAGTAAGACAGGTGGAATGACTTCCTCTTTTAGAGAAATGAAGTGAGAATTTCAAGGATTAGAAATGTTTAGCCCAGTTTCCATGACTGGCCAAGTCAGGACCACAATACTCATCTTCAACTCCTACCCCATGGCTTTGTCCAACTCTGCTAACTTGAAACAACTGGGGAATTGCTGGATATTCTATTCCAAGTTTTCTACCAACACATGTCTGTGCACTGGCCTCCAGGACGCAGTGATATTTTCTGCCCGGGGCTTTCTTTACAATGAGAAAACGCAAATGAGCACTTCAGACGTGGCTTAGTTATTGTTTTAGGCTAAAAAGTAATGCTTTGTTCTCTCCAAAATCAAAATGACTTGGTATAGAAGTGATGGCCTTACTAGGCAAAAGAAAGATCCAGCCTTTTGTAGGTTAAACTGTCTTATTTTTTACACATGGCAATTTTAGTGTAATAGACTTAATGAAATAACCCTGAAGATATGACATTAGCTGTCTGCTCATTGTTATACTGATTTTTTTTTTCTGAAGTTCAAGTAGAGTTGGCCAAACAAGTGTCGAGATATTTGTACTTGTCTAGAAAAGTACACTGTCCTGCTACTTTAACTTAGAATTGTAAAAGAAGCAAAACTCGTCCCAAATAAAAACACCTAGTTTTTTAAAAAAAAGCAATGAATAAACAAACAAATAACTAAAACCTCATAAATAGTATAAATAGTACATGATTTTTGAGGGAGGGTAAAAGTAGCTGTTATTATAGTAACTTAAAATTTAGATTTTTGGAATCCATCTCTGGAGTCAATCCCTTTCTGTTTTTAATTTGGAAAATAAATATGACTCCACTCAATATATATACAACTATAGAATGAAGTTATGGTTGTAATCTGAGGCTGGAACCAAAGTCTTGTGATGTCACATTTCCTGAACCAGCATCCTAATGACATGTGCAGGTGTCTGTGTTAAACCTTTACGCGAAGTAGAATCAATGGATACCACATGGGCCCTCCCCAACACACACACTCCAGCACTTTGGAAATGTGGAAGCTGGGACCCAAGCTCAGGCCGACTGAGAATGGGTATTTGCATTTTAACAAGATACTCAGGTGACTCATGACTCATATGTCCATTAAATTTTTTAAGGTACCACAAAGGCTCTTTGCTTCACCTTTTAAAAAATTATTAATAATTACATATAAAGTAAAATACCCATTTGCAACTCTTCAATAAGGTCAGATTTATTTATGTTTTGTGAGTAGCAAATGAAATGAGAAGTTAGTGCACGTTCACACAGCTAGTACAGTGCAGATGTCTGTTTTAACTATGTTTGGCTCCACCCCCAAGTCCTTGCTGTTTCCACTACACCTGTGACGCCCAGCACTACTGAATGTATTGGGTCTTCGGGGAAGTCATGACACAGTTTTGCACAGAAAACTTGGCATGGCTTTCCTGACAACCTAATATACTGATATGTCAGAGCCATCCATTTCTTTTCACTCTCCACTTTTTCAGAGTCACAGTGCTGCTGCTTTTTAAAACAGACTTGGGAATAATCAATTATGATGTCCACATGTATAGCTGTAGATACATGTCCACATTATGTACACACACCGTTAATAAGTATATCATGCTGCTTTTAGAAAATACTCTTTCCTACCACCAACTTTATGTCTGATGACTCTGAAATTTTTTGACAAGGATAGTTTGTTTTTGGTTTGTGAAAGAATTTAAACTAATGGAAGATGTAGATTGTCTTGCTGTTGCTTTCTTTTGCGTGGGAACAGAAGGGATGCATGTATGTGTGCAGAGGTTGTCTGCAACTCTTGGGGACTGTTCCTTTGCTATGTAAGGGGACTGTAATCAAAGGAAGGCAAAGCTCTGGGAAGGAACCTAATCAAATATGACTCTGTTTCAGGATGCAAAGCTATTTTCGAAGAATCAAAAAATGGATGTCCCAAAACCCAATGGTTCTCGACAAGTCAGCTTTTCCAGACCTAGAGGAGTCAGACTGCTACACGGGCCCCTTCAGCCGGGCACGGATTCACCAGTGAGTTCCCTCTCCTTCTCCCACCATCGGCCTCTGTACTTTTCATTGTCTCAGGCGTATTTATATAGCAAAGGCACCTGGGACCATTTCCTCGTTTCCCAAACAGGCCAGAGAATGTGTAATTGCATTAAACTACACACTTATGAAAAGTTCTAAGTGAGTGTTATTAATTCCTTATCAACATTATCATTTAGAGACACTCAAGTAATGAGTAATTTTTATAAAAATTATTAATTTATTCTTCCTCTTCAACATGACCAGAGAGAGACAGAGAGAGAGAAAGCAAGTCCCCAGGTCTGGGACTCAAACCACAGTCAGCCATGTGAGAGTCTAGCTTGCTAACCACCATGTGACCTGCTGGCCCTGAGTAGTTAATTTTTATCCCACAGACTATTAATCTAGCTCTCAACTCCTCTAAAATAATTACTATGATCATAAATCACTCAATTAAAATAACAATGATAAAAAATAACAATGATAATAATAAGAATAACATTGCTATTACTTAATATATTTTAATAATTTGGTTTTTCCAAATAATAAATTACAGTTGAGCCAGGCAATGGTATTGCAGTTAAGGCACTGGATTCCCACATGGCCTGTTGCACAACTCGAGTCCTGGACTTGGCAGCAGAGAGACACCCCAGGCATGTGTCCATGAGTGTTCAAAATCGTGAGAGGACGGAGAAATGGAGGAGAAGGAATCGTGGCATGACCATTCTCCATGAGGGGTGCTTTCTCTTTATCCCTCTTTTCAGTCTCCGTCTCTCTCTCTAGCAAGCGTACATGCCCTCTGGTAAATGAAAAGAAAATTATAACCATAATTGCATTGACTATGTACTTGACAATTATTCATTTAATGTAACCTTATTAAATTAAGGTATAAAGTTCTTAAGAGATGTGTTGCTTGACTCTTCTCTCTGCCTTCCTATGTATGTATTTGTTTGTTTATTTTTTAAATTAATATTGACTTTCCATATGGCTCAAATTGAGGATATAAATGGGATTATGATACTGAGTCTGCCTTGACAGTGCTCTTAGCTGAATCGGTCAGATCAAAATGTAAAATAATGAAATAAAATAGGGTGAACATAGAGTTGATTAAACACATAGGACTGCAGCTGTAGGACCTGTTTTGCTGCACAACATCCTGGGGTAATCAATGTTCTGGGACTTGGGAATTGGAAGGGAAGGAGGAGACGGAGTTCTAGACCACCAGACATAGCACAGACAGCGGTGCTGGCGCACACCCCTCCTCCTCAACACTGTGCTTATTCCATTCCTTGTTCATGGAGGTGGACCGAGAAGTATCCCTTCTAATTTCAGCTTTAGGAAGTGAGATGGGGGTAGAAATCCAAATAGCTGTCGGATTCAGGAAGAGGTCTAGTTTCATGATTCCTTCACAGCTTTCTGTGTCCTTCAGAACCTGTAAGGACTTACAGTGCCCAAAATTAAAAAAAAAAAAAAATTAAAAAGCTGCTCTTCATAAACTCAAGAAACTGGAGTGGTCTTTAAAAATTACTCATAAGGGCCAACAGGTGGTGTGGATGTTAAGGCATTCAATCCCTTAAGTAGTCATCTCCACGGCTCAAGTCCTGAGAGTCACACCAGGCACATGTGCATGTGTGCCCAAATCCCAAGAGGAAAATGAAGGAGAAGGGGTGGCAGCATGGCCATTTTCCTGGGTGGGGGGGAGGGTCGTATCTCACTTTCCTTCTTTCTCTCTCTTTCTCTTTCTCTCTATCTGGTGAGCAACATGCCCTGTAGCAAAAAAAAAAACAAAAAACTTTTTAAGTCATCAGTCAGATCATGCAACTGACTTGCTTAAAACCCCCCAATAACCTCCCATTTGTCCTTGGACTTAACACAAATGTTTTCTTTAGTAGGTGGGTGTAAATGCAGTAGTCCTTAGCTAACATTCTCATTTCATCTTTTGTTTATCCCCCCACCCCCATACCCAGCGCGGCTTTGGTTCTAGCCATCAAAGTCTCCAGTTAGTCCCACCTTGGCAACTTTGTCCTTGTCCTCTCTCTTCGACACACCTTGCCCCTGATGTGGGCATGGTCTATGCTGCCTCACCGTTCAGCTCTCGCTCTGTCATCACCACCTCAAGGCGCCTTCTCTGAAAATGCTACTTATGGGCCCCTCACTAGTCATTCTTGTACCATGGTGCTGTCTCGTTTGTTATCACAGCATTTGTCTAAAATTCTGTTGGTTCTTTGTTGACTTAATATCATCTCTTTCCTCTCTCCATAATGCACCTTCATAACAAAGGGATTTGTCTGCTAAAGGAGCGTTTGTTGGAGGAATGCTGAATGGATATGATAGCTCAAGAGCAGCTAGATATTTCTTCTCCCTGCAATTAGCAGGACCTGTATTCGGTGCACCCAAGTGCAGAGATAAAGAGCGGAATGTCAGAATATGGGAGGGACTCAGCACCTAAACAATAAACAGACTAGCATACGAGTCAGAGCAAAGTCCACATGTTAGGGGAGACAGGAATAAGATGCACATTTTGTGAGAGAGGAACAGCTGCATCTAGGGGGGAAGGTCCGAGAAACCTTTTTGAAAGGGAGAGCCACTTTCACCAAGTAAAACTATGAAGACAGATAGGGAGAGGAAGGGAAAGAACAGATATCAGAGTCTGAGGAAAAGAAGCAAATATTTTAAGCTGATGATAAATTACATAATTTGACAGATAATCAGATCCAAGAAGCCACAGCTGTGAGAAGTCAGTCTGAGTGCAAGTATAGAGAGGCTTGTAGGAACAAAAGAAATTGAATGATGCTTGCATTGGGAGCTGCTGACATGCTGCCAGAAGGGCTGGTGGAGGTCAGGCTGTGCTTCGTGGTCAGAGGGAAACCCGGATGGAAGTTAGGAGGCCACTCTTCTCATACGCTAGGCAAGAGGCAGTGAGACCCAGACAAGGCAGGTGGTATCCAAGCTGGAGAGAAGCAGTTCAGTTAGAAAAATTCATTAGTTGGGTATGGAGGATGAAAAGGAAGCGAGGATCCTGGAAGACCTGGGACTTCAGGACTGAGTGCCTGACAGGAGGGTGGGTTAGCATCCAGAGACAAAGTGACTTGAAACGGAAGTGCCACAGTGGCACACGAGGCCCTGGCACTTCTGTTTTCTGTGGCTCCCAGTAAGTGACAAAGTCAGTGCCAGGGCAGATGTTCCTGCTCTCTCGGGGTCACCAGCATGGCGCCCACATGCTCCCTCCCACTGCTCTCTTATGCAGAGACACCTGCATCAAGGGGAAAGAACTGCGTGACATCTTTACTTTTCCCTCTCCTGTGCAAGGGAGGGAGGGAGGGAGAGAGAGCGAGCGAGTGAGCGAGCAAGTGCACTGGGCTATGAGCAAGCATGTCCCTGGTGTGATCAGGGAAGCTTCTGGACTTGAAGTGAGAACCTGCCTCTGTGGGATTGCCTTGCAGAGCAGCTCATCTTACCGTCTCACCGCTGCACTTAGTCTGCCCCACACAGCAGTGTTTACATGTTTTCTATTTGGAACTATGTTACTTAAGGCAGTACAAAATTTATAGGTCAGTGGACAATCTATTCTCTCCT